TAGCGCGTGATGGTGCGTTATAGCATTTTCGACGATAGGGAACCTCTTGTTCTATGTTTTCAGACCTCCTAAGCACGATGGTGATGTTAGTTTCTAGAAAAAAGGTCTGGCTTGCAAATCGCAAAGACATTAGGGACCCCTCCTTTAAATCTTTCCTTCTTCGACCTAATCCCTCAATTCTCACCTTACTCTCTCACTCTTTGGACCAGTTCTGATACCAAAAAATGGCACAGGAACCAAATGAAAAGGGATAATCTAATCTTTATTCTAAAACTGAGCAATGCTACAGCAAAAACCAATGGTCTTATTTATATTGCTAGGACTCTGAATGAAAAAGACGAGTAAAAAGAAGTCTACAACATTAGCTTTTATTAGTTATAATTATCTTTAGGATGTTTTCGGGGTGATGTGAATGTGACGACTCATGCTTCCGTTGTAGCAACTCATGCTTCCATTTCAAAAAGTCTCTTAAAAGTCAATACCATGTACTTGGTTACATCCTCTCACTACAAGCCTAGTTTTATATTTATTAGTATCGCCATTAACATTGTATATTCCTTTGTAAAGACATACTTAAAGATCATCCCTGTTAGCACGAAGAATGACTTTTCTATTAGCTTTTCTTTGCACAATGCAAAATTTTGAGTTAAAGATCACTCTATTTCCTTTATCACAGCTTTGGCCAACACTAATTAGATTGTGGGATAGGCCTTTCACATAGAGAACATTCTATATACTGATTTTCTTGCCTTGTCTAACTTTACCAACGATAGCAATCTTTTCGTTTTGATCTCCTTTAAAGGTAACATGACCTCCATCTTTGTTAACTAGCCTAACAAATTCATTCTTATCATTGATCATGTGCCTTGGGCACCTACTGTTTATGTACTACTTCTTCTTCAAAACAGTGAGGCAAATATGTAAAATCAAGTTATTTTACTTTAGGTACCCATTTCTTCATGTGTCCTTTCTTATTAGTTGGTCTCCTAGGTATGTTGGTATCCTTAGGAATGCGTCTTATAAAGCCACTTATGTCATTCTTCTTATAAAGGCAACACTTAACATGGTGACCCTTTTTGTTATAAAAAGAGCACATAATAAAAGGACTAGAGGAATTTATAATAGGTTTGAAATAACTATATTATTTTTTGTGACCTTCTTTAGCTTTTTCTGAGATGTATTAGTAGTGGGGTTATACTTAATTTCTAGTCTATTAGAGATGCATCTTTGAGAGCCAATGAGAATGTTCAACATTTCAGTTCCGCAAGCAAACTTAGGCAAACCTTTTTTTAAGGATTCATTTTGAGTTTTAAGTGAAATGCAATGATCAGACAAGTCTTATTTTCATTTTTAGAAATCTCCTTCTCATGAGAGTTTTTTTAGTTTATATTCTAGAAAATTAAAGAGATTTTATTTTTACAAGCATTAATTGTTTACAAGTCTTTTGAAGTAAACAAAATAATTCTTTAAGTTCATCTTGCAAGCTTTCAGAATTTACCTCATCAGGTTGAGTTTGAATCTCATATTGGTCATCTTCTTCATATGCCATGAAACACTCTCTTTTACAAAGGTAATTTATCACTCATTTAAGTTTATCGAACTCAAGATACTCTATTCTAAATAAGTGAAAATATAGGATTGATTACAAAGGGATCAAATTGTCAAGTAACTCTCTAAAGAGTAGATATACAATCAATGAATCTCATAGTAAATTGAATACAAGTGCAAAAGAGTAGTTAAAGATACTAATGAAATAGTGTGTGTAATAACTTCTTTGCTTTAGTCTTCATAGATAAGTCCTTTTATAGTGACTTCGCCCCAAATATTTGTTAAACTCATAAAACTATCTATTGTGACTTGCTTCTTGTTAAATTGAATGTTGGATGTTTTTACCTAATTTTTATCTTTCCTAACAATGCCAAGTTTCCTAGAAAGTATGGAGGAAAGAAGGTTTTCTGGTTGGGTAGCATGTTTTAGGATTATAGCAACAATAAATGCCTAACATTATTACCGTTGAAGCTCAAATTTTAAAGATTTGAAGTTTTAGCAAAATAAGGATTAAAGAGATAAAACTTGATTAAGAATTAATCCAAAGAGTAGAAGATGTTAATATGAAGATAAATGAGTTTAGAAAAGATAATGAGTAATTTTAAATTAAATAAAAAGGTTTAACAGATGTGAAAAATAATCCTTGAATTCTAATATGGAGAGAAACTTTGAACATTAGAGTGAACAGATAAAAGACATTGAAGATTAGAAAACAAATATTTCAAAGATTTGAAATTTATGCCACAAACATAGAGTAGGATCTTCAAAGAATAAAGGAAAATTTCAAAGATATGACATTTAGATGTAGCATGAACTTTGAAGTTTTGAAGAACATTAAAGTTTTTAACATCTAGAAATGAAGCAAGGAAGCATAAGTGAAATTCTTCGAAGATTTGAAGATCTTGGAAAAAATTTTCATAAAAACTTTGAAGTTTTGAGAAATTTCAAACATTTAACACTTAAGAACAAAAAAAAGAGTAAGAAAGGCTTAGAAGTTATATTGAACTTCAAAGATTTGAAAGGGAAGCCTTAAAGATACATATAGCTATAAACTTCAAAAATTTTACAAACTACAAATTTTTTAAACAAGAGAAGCACACAATCTTCAAATATTGAAGGAAACTTTGAAGAATAAGAATTATCCTGAGACATCATAAACTTCAAATGAAGAACAAACTAAGGAGTTTTTCAGAAGGTAAAACAAGGCATGAACTTTGAAGTTTTTGGAAACTTTGAAGATTTTGAAAGTTTTTGACAAAATCAATAGAAGGATAAGAGAGCCATCAACCTTTCAATCTTACCATATTTCTAAAAAAATTAACCACGTGAAACACAAAATTTTCTCTAACTCTATCATAATTAAAACCAAGGAAATATATTTCTACAAGTTTGACTGTGTTGAAACATAAGAAGGTCCCCAAATGTCACTATGGATAAGGGAAAAGGGTTGAGAAGGTGCATAGGGATGAGGCAGATAATACTGTTGAGTATGCTTTGAAATGTGACAGGATTCACATTGGAATGAAGCAATATCTCTATTAAATAGAGTAGGAGACAACTTTTGCATATAAGAGAGATTAGTATGGCCTAATCTATTGTGTAACAAAGATATATCTTTTTGTAGACTTGCTTGCATTCACCATATGCTTTCGAGAGACTTTAGTACAGTAAAGGCCTTCAAATTCCCTAGCATTGCCAATCTTCTACTTGACTCCAAATCCCTGAGTACACAACCAATAGCATCAAAATTAGCAACATAATTATTTTTTGTAGTCAATTTCTTGACAGATAAAAAATTGCAATTAAAACGATGCACAAATAGAACATTTTTTACTATGAGGGTGCTATTAATAAGAGAGCAACCAACTCCATGAACCTTAATGAGTTCATCATTAGCAATAGTGATTGTTCTATCATTAGAACAGGGTTGAAGGTTATGTATAAGAGAAGCATTTCTAATCATATGATTAGTGATTCATGAATCTACTATTCATATATCTGAATTAGAGCCTCTAATACCTAAAGCCATATTTACCTATAAGAGCCATATTGCTTGTAGCTGATATTTGTTTTGTCTTCAACTCATACTTACTAAGTAGTTTTCCAAGTGCTTCACCTACCTCCTTGGTCATTTGAGAAGTTTCATCCTCTAACTTGTCATTTGATTTTAAATGTATTTTTGCCCATATTTACTAGGTATTTTTTTTAAATTAGTCTTTTAGGCTCTAATAGCCTATTATAGGTTTTTGAGCTTAAGTTATCCATTAGGGTTTTCATATTAAGATTTTTAGAGAGTCCATTTGAGTTAGGAGTCTTCTATTTATTTAAATGCTACTTGGATGGCATATAGAGAGCATATTGAATAAAGAAGTTAGTTCTCATTAATGAGTTTTACTTGTTCATCAATGTTTTGGATTGAATACCATGTGACTTTTCGAGTCATTGTGATATTGGCAGTTCCTTGTCTAAGAGATCCTAGGCGTGATTCCAATTTTTCATGAGGGCTACCATATCATTTGAATATAATTTTGAATTTTATTCAAGCTTATGAGGCTATTTTCAATTAGTGTTGTTTTTAGTGAAATAGCACTATAAAATTTTGAATTATAGTGAATTATTATTTGGTTGCTCCTATCATATTAACATAGATTCCACTACGTGGACTTGTCTTAGTAGCACATAATCTAATAAAGAGGTGCACAATCTAAGACAATCTGACTCACCTTGGCAGCACACAAGTCATGAGATTACAAAATCCAAGGCGATCTACCTCAACTTATCTTTCACATTACCAAAGCTTACATAATCCAAACATTTGCGTACCTAATGAATGTAAAGTAAATCAAAACACCCAACTGTTCTCCTGAATTACCTTAGACTATAAAATATGAAGGACGATGTTTGACAGAAACAGAAGGTGGAGGACGACGTTTGACAAAAACTAAACGGTAACCGCCTTTGACGGAAATTTTTAAGATTCTTGAACCACCATCGCTGCTATTCGAAAATGAGACTAGTGATGAATCTTGGAATTTCGGATATCAAACATGATATCAAATTTATTTATTACCAGAATACTGGATCTTTTTTTTAAGCGAGTGTCACCTTTTTGTTTTAACCCCACCCTTCCTTTCTCTCATATTTGGGTTTAATTATTAATTTCTTATGTCGTTTAGTGTAATAGTTTACTTTTGTAAACATGCTAGTTATTGAATTTTAGTATTTGACTTCAGCATTTTCCCCCTGCGATGAGTGTAATGAGTAACAAGTTAGTTTACATTTTTCTCCTGATTAACAAGTCTCTTGCCACTATTGCCTTGTATTTTTCTTGAACCCTTGATTGTTGCAGTTGTAGCTTTCAGATTTGTTTATCATTTTTGGTGCACCGATGATTTCAAAACATAAATCTAGATATCTAGTAGGATCTACTGACTATAACCTCGTAATGTTAGATGGAGCAATGCCTTCTTGACCTTGTAAAGAATGAAGTCCAAAGTTTGATGAATTTAGTGAAAAATGAAGCTCAATATTTATGTTGTTTCAACAGTTTTGTTGAAAATTTTGAGCAAGAAAGGAAAAGATTAGCTCCAAAACACATTGATATGAATAAAAAGATAAATAAAGCTAGAGGTGTTTTCAGTTTTAAGTCTGAAGCATTGGATTGGAAGCATGAAGCTGATGATATCATTAATATTGACACTACAGCAAAGAAGAAATGCTTTTTTGACTTATGTCCTAATTGCTGGTGGCAATATTGGCGAGGCAAGGAGTTGGCAAAGAAGACAGAATGCACTAAAGTACTATTGGGAAGAAGTAATACGAACATAATAGCAGGGAAAGCTTATTTACCAATCAAGGAATACTTTTTTCCTTCACAAGAATTTGTTCATTTCAAGAGTAGAGAATTAGAATTCCAAGATCTAAGGAAGGCATTAGAAGATGGTAATTGCAATATAGTTGGATTGCAAGGTATGGGGGGAACGGGCAAAACCTACATGGCAAAAAAAGTGGGTAGTGAATTAGAAGGATCCAGATTTGACGAAGTCTTCCTTCTTGAGGTGTCTATTCTTCCAGATTTCAATAAGCTTAGACGTAAGTTTGTCGAATATCTACGATTGCCCTTAGAGGAATGGAAGGAAGAGGAATACTCTATGATAATATGGATTACGCTCCTTGATATGAAAAAAAAACTACTTATAATTCTTGATGATGTATGGGAAGCGTTTGATCTGAAACGTCACTTGGGGATTCCATGTAGCCACCACCAGCACAAGGGTTGTAGTGTATTAATAACTACTCGTAAGGAACGTGTTTGTGTAAAAATGGAATGCCAAATCATAATTAAACTTGAGACTCTGAATGATAAGGATGCGTTGGATCTTTTCCAAAAACATGTTGGTAATATTAATGATTCCTCTCGTGGTTTGAAGGGTGTACCGGAGAAAATTGTCAAGCATTGTGGGGGAGTACCTATTGCTATTGCAGCAATAGCAGAAGCATTAAAAGGTCAGCCAACATCAGTTTGGAAGGATGCACTAAAATCCTTGAAAGATTGTCTTGGTGATCAAAATTTGACAAAGGCCTATAAATGTTTGGATTTAAGCTATTGTAACTTGAAAAATGAAAAGGCTAAAGTACTCTTTTTGATATCTTCTCTGTTTCCAAAAGGTTTTGAAGTTCCAGAGCAGCTTTTGAGCAAGATTGGTATAGGACTAGGCTCTTCTGGGGATAATAACAAATACCATGCAACAAGAATTGAAGTGCTTGCAGCTATAATGGAACTCAAAGATTCTACTTTATTGTTCAATAGTGGGGGAAAATTTGTAATGCATGATTTGATTTATGATGTGGCATTGCAGATCAGAGAAAAAGATTTTCAAATGATTGTGAATTCTAATATGGTTATAAAAGACAACATACGATATTTGTTTTGGAAAAATAGTTATTTTCCTGGTGAATTTGATGGAAAGGAGCTGGAGCTTTTATCAATATTTCTAGATGATTCAAAGGATTTGAAAGTCTCAAATGCATTCTTTATGGAGATGACAAGGCTCAAAGTCTTGATTTTAGTTAGTACTTGTGACTATAGAATTTCAGCTCTATCATTGTTGCATTCTCTTCGGTCACTAGCAAATATTCAAACACTCACCCTGATGAAATTGAAGTTAGGAGACATCTCTATGTTAGAAAACTTATCAAGTCTTGTAACTCTTTCATTGCATCATTGTTCATTCATTAAATTACCTGAAGAATTTCCCAAATTAAAGAAGTTGGGATTGTTGGAGCTAGAAATGTGTGAAATTGAAATGAATAATCCTTTTGAAGTGATTGAAAAATGCTCACAGCTAGAAGAGTTGGCTTTTGTTGGTAACAAGTGTGGCAAAGAAGAAAAAGATGCAATTTCTCAAAATGAATCTTCTCTTTCATTGCATAGATATCAAATATCTAATGGAAGCCTTTCAAAGTATCATAATAAGCATGGTTCCGTATCAAAATGCTTTCGGTTAGATGATTCAAGGCATTTAATCTCGGAGGCAACATTTAAGCGACTTGTGGGAGAAACTGAACTTCTTATCTTAGAAGGAAGGTATGAAGAATCTAGATGGAAAAATCTTATCCCTAGCATTATTCCAGTAGATAATCAAGGAATGAATGAGTTGATGATTCTTTATTCAAGTTCTTGTCCTGATATAGAGTGCCTTGTTGATACTAAAAATCATTCTTTTCATGTGATTGCTTTCCCCAATCTGGTTGAACTACATCTTTATAAAATGGATGTTGAAGAATTATATCAGGGTCCTATGCCATATGGCTTTCTGGAGCAGTTGAATATTATGAAGTTAAAGGATTGTCAGAAATTGAAGGGCGTGTTATTTAATGGCAACTTCAACCTATGCTATCTTCAGTCATTGGAATTGGAAGATTGTCCTATGTTGACATCAATTTTCCAGCAATCAACTACTCAAACACTAAAGCAACTGGGAGAATTAAGAATTAAAAATTGCAAAGCATTGCAATACATAATGACATATGAGAGTTTAGGAGGGGAAATAGTGGATGATGGTGACAATGATCAAGAGAGTTATGGTTCATTGTTCCCAAAATTAAAAACTCTTCAAATTACAGGATGTGACCAATTAGAAATAATCTTGCCAATCCTTTTTGCTGAAGGCCTTCCATCTTTGGAAGAGATAAGCGTATGTGAGTGTGAGCAGTTGAAATTCATATTTTATAAGTTTGTGGGGGAGGACCATGATATGCTCCCTTCACTAGAAGAAATGGAACTCTCTGTAGTACCAAGTTTGATGGGAATTTATAAAGAATATCAACAACCAATAACTTCACCCATGCAAAAACCACCATCTCCACTTGCAAAGGATAATTCCAAGCAAATACTTCAACGTTTTCGTTTTCTGAATAGCTCGAGGACCACCAATGAGGATAAATTGCTTGACCACACAATCCAACAGGTATGCTATACTTGTCTCCCTCTATTTCATATGTTGAGTGAATCAAATATTAAACGTTCTATTATTTAGAAAATGGTTAACAATTGAATAAAATAAGGTATGACTTTCAAAATATCTCACGCAAATAATTAGTTTTTTACATTTATGTGCTATTTCATTAAATGAAGGGGAGGGGAGGGGAGGGTTTTTAATAATTACTCCAAATCCCCTCAATTTGGAGGGGATTAAAATTTTTCCTCCCCTCTCCTCCTCTCTAGCAAATCAAATAAAAGTAGTTTGTATACTTCTTTTTTTTTGCTTGACTATTTGTAACAAAAATTTCTTAAATGTATCTCATTTAAAAATTTCATTCCTTCATGACAAGGGCAAGAGTCACACACGCGCATGCAAGGGTGTGCCTTTTGTATGTAGCAAGAAAAGGAAAAAAAAAAGCAAGAGAAAGCGATCGAATATATATATATATATATATATATAGCAAACATTCTAAACACCAAAAAAAAAAATTGAAATAGTTTCTCATGTAAATTTCTTGAAATTATAGTTGTATCATTGTATAAAGATTGATCGGATGAATTGCTATTTCCCCATAGATTCCATACGTAAAACCATTAATAAGTTTAAACTAATATCTCAAACCTGAGGGCCAAAAAGAAACTACTATTGATTGATTGGTATTAGTATAGCATTCCATTGAAAGTAAACTACTATGTGGTTGATTTTTTAAATAAAAATTTTTATTTTATAGGGCTTAAGTGCATCAAAAAAATGGATTAATGCTGTTGATATCCTCAAGAGTCTCAATGTTCATCATATCAGAAAGTTGAAAATTGTGGATCTCACTTTGAAGTCAGCATCACTGCTCACTTTATCTATGGCCTCCATGATAATGTGGGAAGAACTGACAATTGGGAAATGCATTGGACTGAAGCACTTGATATCAAGCAAGGCATACGATAATAAAGATCAAATCAACACCAGCTTCATTTTCCCAAAGTTAGAAATGCTAGAGATTTGGGAGTGCAAGGACTTGAAATTTTTATTTCCATCTACAACACCTGTAGGAATTAAAAATTTGAAGTCTTTGACTATCAAAGGTGCTCCTGAGCTAAAATATGTCTTTGGAAAATACCAGCATGATGACCATTTATTAAATCAAAATTCAGAAGTTATGCGTTACTTTGATCTCCCTGCTTTGAAGTTCCTCTACTTTAAAGATGCACCGAAGATGATCAGCATTTGTTTCATGGATTTTATCGTGGTATTGCCATCTCATGTCATTTTGGAAAATTGCGGCATTGAATCTGTGACTAAATTGATGGTTTGTTCAGATGAAGAACATCTTAATCAAGAAGCCACAAAGGTAACACTCTTTCTAACTTAGGAAAAAGTGCATCTTTGATCTTCTAACTAAGATTTTAGTTTATAGTTCATTAATGTTATAGAGTATCTTTTCAATCATCTAACCCTGATACTATCAATCTTAAATGATGATATTTTTGTACCCATCATTGTTATTGTGAAAAATTGCATTTAATATGTAAGCATTTGAGAATGTTTTAACATTTAAAAGTTCAATGTTAGCATTTTTTTTTTGTTAATGAAACTAACTATGCTAGGATTAAAAAATTGAAAAGACAGTCTACAAAATTAAGGAATAAAAATAAAACATTATATAAAGTTAAAGAATAAAAGTTGCACTTTTGCCGTTAACTTACTTTCATTTGTTCTGTTTTGGAATCTTATTGATCAATGAGGCTGCATAACTTGAGGACTTGTGTTAGCTTTTCCTGAAATGAAAACACTTGGAACAAACCAATGATAAGTTTGGTAAATCAATTTTTTGGTAATAAGGTGAATTATCATGATATTCTACTTTTTGGAGTGATATTTGTTGATACTTGTACTATTAAGATTATTAATATAGAGTTAACTTTTGATAATATTTGCTAAATATAAAAACTACTCAAATAGACATATAAGATCTTACGTGCATGTTATTGACTCTTGTATAACCTCAATATTCTTATCAATGACAAATTGAGATAAACCACACGATCCTCTTAGCCTATAGTTTAATTATAATTCTAGTATATAGAACTCAAAACAAACCAATTTACCCTTTAAATTATTAGAGTGAAAACACTGTAAACTGTTTAACATTAGCGTCTAAAATTACATGCTTGTTATGCGATATCTTATATTTACACCAAGATTCTCCAATTTTTCTGTTTTCATTTCATATCTTACATTTTCAACATCACATATCGTCTTGGAGGTTATTTTACTTATGCAATAGTTTACTCATTATTATAATTTTAGGGCCATAATTTTACATTTAAAGCTTTCATAGTAAATTTATAGTTAGGTTGTTCAAGAGAGCAATTCTTTCCCAATTAAATTGGTCATACAAAAATTTGCACATTGAGATTTTATATATTGTTTGTTTGACATGGGTAATATTTATGCATTTATAGGAAATACATCCATCCATATATGGATTTCCTCTCTATCAAGAAGTCCAAAACCTTACGGCTGGAACATTGACAAATATTAAGAAGATGGAACTCGAGAACTGTTCAGAATTAACATCAGTGTTAACTCTACCAGTTGCCTCAACGATTTTGTTGAAAACTTTGACAATCAAAAGATGTCGTCAACTGAAGTGTATTGTAGTAGATGAAGGAGATGCTCAAGTTTCCACAAATAGGTGCTCCATTTTCCCAAAATTAAAGAATCTAGAGGTCTCGGACTGCGAGGAGTTGGAATTTTTATTTCCAGCCACATTATCTGTTGAACTTGAAAATTTGGAGTCTTTGACGGTCACTGATGCTTTTGAATTAAAATATGTGATTGGGAAACACCAGCAAGAGGGTTATTTATCCAATCAGAATCAGAATGTTGAATTTCACTTTGATCTCCCTGTTTTGCAGTCCCTCTGCCTCCGAGGTGTACCGAATCTCGTCAGCTTGTGTCCAGAAAATTATTGTTTAAGAGGACTGCCTCGGGGTTCATTGAATTGGAAATTCCTCGTACTATTAGATCTTTTACTGATTTCTTGGTTTGCGTCAGTGCAAGACAGCAGAGTTCCAAAACCATAGAGGTAGGACCATGTTCAACTTTTCTTTCTTGGTCTTAGTAATTATTTTTATCAAAGGATATGTTAAAATTGATTATATTACCCACTATTCTGAACTATTCTACATTTTCTGCGAAAATTGTACGGTAAGATTTAATGCATGCATTGCTAGTGCAAAAGATCATGTTTTGTTAATCATAGATTAATGTTGAAACAAATGTGAGCGGAACTTGCCCCTCTTTCAATGCTTATCCATAATCCCTCTTTTTTTTTTTGGCCAAATCAAAGTTTCATTAATTGAATTTCCTATCTCTTAACGTATCTATGTGTTTTAGTGTTAATGGCTTGTTAATTTTTTCATATTCTGTGAAAGATATGCAGTATTCTTTTGTTTAGGTTCGTTTAATTCAAACACTTTAACTAAATATTGGAATATCAATTTTTTTTATTTCTATTTATACCAATTGAGTCTAAGTATTTTTATTTACTTTAATTTGATACTTTTTTTCCTCCCTAATTTCTATTACGTTTGGTCATAAGGGAAAGATAATTGTCCATGACATGTTAAATTGGAATTTGATACTGATATTGTGTCATTTTGTTTTACAGGTAATTGAGATGCATTTGCATGATTTGGAATCTCTTGTAATAAAAAACTCTAGAATAGAAGAAATTTTTAACTTGATGAATCTGAATGTAAAGAAAATTGAAAGAGGAATTGAACCATGGGCATTAAGCTTGCGATCCTTGTGGTTAGAAGGTCTAAGTGAGTTGAGGAATATATGCGTGGACCCCAAGCATATCCTGAGGCTTAATAATCTCTCCTGTTTGAAAATCATAGGGTGCCGTAAGCTTGAAGTTGTCTTCTCTGCCTCTACATTGAGAATCCTGCCAAAGTTAGAGGAACTAACTATCTCAGAATGTGGAGAATTAGTCCAGATCATTGAAGAGGAGAATGAAGAAAGTGCTCGAGATCATTTGCGTCATGAACCATACTTTCCAAAGTTATCTGAACTAACTGTTGAGGGCTGTCATAGGTTGAAATATTTGTTCTCTCTCACAGTATCTGGTATCCTTCCAAAACCACACGAATTATGTGTAAGAGATGCCTCCACCCTTGAGCATGTATTGATCAGACCAGATGAACCGAAAGAAATGGCAATGGAGGATGTGCTACCAAATCTTAGAAGAGTGACACTAAAGAGAAATCAAAGCCTCATTAGCATCTGCCACGGGATTGATTTTCAAACATTGGAAGAATCTTCTGAAGTGGATGATTGTCCTAAATTTTCTTTTCATGGTATGCTTTCAAACATTCAAATTGAAAGTTATTATGTGAGTTCTAGAATAACATTGAGAATCCTTACAGAAACAACTGCTAATCAGCTTCAAGTTGGCCCTACAAATCTAGATTTTGAACGTAAAGCAGAAGCCGAGAAAACTCTTTCTTCACTTCTAAGTACTAATCAATCATACATGGGAGAAACCAAAGGGAGGCCAAACTTGGAAACCCAACAGTCCCCACTTAGTTCACCAACCTTTTCAAGGGTATGTCTCATTTCACTGCCTTATGCGCGCGCGCGCGCGCGCGCGCGTCATTTAACTGCTTGTTTGTATGTACATATACATATCGTTTGCTTATGACATTTCTATTACTAATACTTCGTCACAAATATATCCACAACCTTGTATTAAATTCTGTCATTCTTTAGTGCATCATTTTTCTATTTTAAAGTTATTTTGTGAAGAGATATTTTAATCTAATGCTTGACAGAAAAAGCATTGACTGCTTAATGGCATTCCCTTGCTTTTTTACGAATATGATTATATCTACAAGCTTGTATTATGCTTCCATTCTTTAGTACACAAATATTTTTTTTTTATGTTTTAAAGTTATCTTTCGATATATGATTTATTTTAATCCTAATAATGGCAGCAAAAGTCAAAACATTAAATTTGATGAGATATTTAAAAAAAAAAATAAAATTACTCGCACACGCACATACAATACATTCTCTTTCATTAAGGAATTCCACATGACTAAACTTCTTTTATCATGTGTTGTATGTTAGGGCGCCAAGGAAGGAACAAAGGAAATTGTTGAAGAGGATGTTATCTCGGAGATAACTGATACACATAATGCATCTCTAAAAGTGAAATTATTCTTATTTCAAATATAGACATATAGATTTATGCTAGATGGCTATAAAGTTTCTTATTTATCTTTATGTAGGATAACCTGGTTTGTAAAGAAGAGCAAAACGGAAAATTCATGATAGATCCACAACAACCCACAAATGGTGAACCATACTTGGCAAAAGTATGTCTAATGGCATCATCATATGTATTTTCCTCTTTAAATTTTTAAAAATAGAAAGAATGAAATTGCCTTACTCAAGAGTGTGTGCATGTGTAGTACTTTTATTTTTCTGTTTCACAATATGTCTTTTGAAAGGTAATGACTTTTCGACCAAACAATGGCCTTCTCTTCATCTCACCAGTACTTTATCCAAGTGTTCTCTAAAGAGAGTGAATTTAATGACCCTATTTAAAATGCCAACAAAACTTTGTTCGGATTTTTTCAATTTAATTAGTATATGTGTGTACATACTTATGAATTCAACATAACTAGAACTTTTATATTATGTGCTTTTCTTGGTCAGGGTGCTCAAGATTTTTTAAAAAACTAACTTCAAATTTATCATTTTGTTTATGCAGACTAGTAAAGAAGTACGGTTGACAACTATTCTAGGAGGTCCTGATTCAAAGAAAATTGAAACAAGAAATCAATTAACAGATTCGAAGGTAACATATTTGTTCTTTCTAATATTAGATGCATAGCTTAAGGGTAGATGACTTGAACTTGCATCTCTTTCTTATTCATCTTCATATAGGACGAGATGGTCCACAAAGATGTGAAAAAGGAAACAAATACAACCGATCCTCATTCACATTGGCGAACCAGACTTGACATAAATCTAACAATTCAAAAAATGTTAACAATCTATTGAAGATTGAATTTCTAATGCTTTAATTTCATAGAAAAATGAAACTTAAGTATCTTCAATGGTGTGCAGATTGCTGAAGAAAGAGTTGAAGAAGGTGATTCATCAGAGACCTTACATCCAAGCTACTTAAAGGTAGGCTTCTTGCAACCATTAAGCATTTAGGTAGTGTTTGAATTAATAGATTTGGATTTAGATTTTAGATTTGAAATCTTGCATTTTAAATTTCACATTTGAAATCCATGCATTTAAAATCCTTTGTTTTGTTTGTTTACAGAATTTAAAATAAAGAAAAAAAATGAGTTGAGATTCAAAATGAAAAAAAAAATAGAAATGATGAGTTTATTTTTATTTTTTAATAGACAAGAAATCAAAAAAGATATGAGAGTCATAGATATATCAATAGTTAAAACACAAAGAGAACAAGATGTTTGAAATGATTACAAATTTAAATGATTGAAGTATAAAGGAAGTGTTTAAATTCAAATTCATAAATTTTTGTGCATCCAAATAAGGGATTTAGTTCAAATCCAAATCTTCATTAATCCGAACATACCTTTAATGAATTTGTTATTTCTATTATAATGATCCATTATTTCCAATAGAAGGTTTCCATTCCTACGAGTTCAAACCTCACTAACCTTCCTGTTGGAGATATCACTGGTACAACTATAACAATTTTGGAAGAGGAAGAGCAAGGGGAAGAGGAAGGTAAGATCTTAATGTCTTAATTTCAGATTTTACAGCTCCTTCAATTACCTATTTTAGGCTTAAATATGGCTTGATAGCTACCCCAGGTCCCTGAAGTGGCATGGAGGTAGTGAGTTCTTTACTCTGAAAACAGCACAACACTACCCTTCATATATATAGTCCTTATTGCTTTCTTCAACAAAAATATTTCATACTTTAAATCGCATTTCATTTGTATATATTCTGTTAAAGGTGACCCTTCTATGCCACTCGCATCAAATATTTCAAGAGAGCAAACTTCTGAGGCAACGAGTCCAAAGCAAATCCCTTTGTCCATTGTCTCAGAGTCTTCTTATGGTGAGATTTGCTGCTATCTTCTTTTAGTAACTTCCCATCATTTTTTCTATTTTGGATTTTGGATAGATTTTATTCTAACTTTGCCTGCTTTAGGAAAAAACATCCACGACAATGTTGGAACTAGTAACCAACGTTCGCATGAAGCTTTGGATGCTATTGAAGTTTCTAGTTAGTATTGTGCCCTTACCCTTAAATGGTTGCTTGTATTATAGTTGACTACATTCCTCCATTAATTTCATGATGAGTATTTTGCCTTTATGAGGTTGCTTTTGTTATTTACTTATATTTCATTTTCTAATGTGACTGTTTTGTTAGGTAAACATGCAGTCAAACATGAATCCGCAGAGATTAATGTGCCATCTTTTAATGAGACAAGTAATGCTTCGAGTGTTCATGGGTTGCAAGAGATAGTTGATACGATGAAATTGGACAGCGTTGAAGCTTCCATTTTGGCAGAAGCATTCGAGACTCACCCACAACTACGTCTTTCTAAGGAGGATCGAAGCACTCAGTTGTTGTGTGACTCTTATAGGGTGTTGTTGGATATTTTGAACATTTTGGCCACAAGGACTCCCTTCACAATCACCAAGGAAGACAAGAAATCATTAGTAGAAAATTTAAAGGATGCTTTAGTTCTAGGTTTTGACAGGGAATGGCTTGAGTCCGTGAAAAACAATGTTTTCAATTGTGATGTATCTGAAGTTCGCCACATGCAAGAAGTTCTAAAGAGCTTCGAAGATAAGCTAGAGACTAACAAGACTGAACTTGCACTAGTTTGTGATCAAGAAGATGAAGCTGCAAGGAGAGTAGAGGTGGCTCAGAAAGAGTTAGAGGCAGTTAGGGCACGTCATTATCAACTTTCAAAGGAACGCCAAGACCTCCAAAATCAACGAGATCAATGTCGGGAAACATTCGCTGCTAAATTTAGAAGTTTTGGCTTTTAACATGGATATCATGTGGACTTCATAATTGGCCTTTCAATTGTTCTTATAGTTTTACTTTTGTTTTGAAAATAAACAGTTATGGACTTCATAACCTGTGTTAAGAATTGTTGAAGTTGCATCATGTACAAGGCCCTGACACTCCCTCTTGTTAGAAATAATGGAGCATAAGGGCCATAATGCATAACAGTAGACTTGTAGTCATTGGACAAGTATTGTTTTTCTAGTTCAAGAAAAATGAGCTTAGTGAGATGGTCTCACTGAAGACTCATACTCTGTTATTTACAGCAGAAGCACGTCTATTTACAGCTGGCATATAATAGATGGTAGATGAGAAGATAATAACAATCTTATACATGGATGTCGACAATTTGAATGTAATGTAAAGAAAGACTGTAAGATTTAGTTGATTGAAATGAGGTTAGATCTCGTGACTTCGGACTATGAGGACGTTCATTATGATCAAATGTTATAACTTCCCTTGACTTGAGTACACAAGGGTTTCATGTGCAATTTGCAAATCTCTAAGTAAACTACATAGCATTTTTTTTTCTGCATATTTTTTCGTAGAAGGATCAAAATTTATTATTTAAGAATTAATATAGCACAAGAAAGAGGATTCAAGTTTGCCTAAGTCCACATTAATATTACTAGAGAGCATGTGGAGAAGTATTGTGCCGGGAAGGTTTGCTTCTTAAAATAAAAGATGCAAAGATTCATGTCAATAGAGATTTCAGGCGACGAAGTTTAGTGGCCTATTTGGCTACCTTATTTTCAGAATGGTTTTATGTTATGAAAAAATGAAAAAACTTATTAAAAAATGTGTTTTCTTTTATTCGTTCTAAAAAACGAAAAAGTTAAAAGCCGAAAAACGAAAAAGTTAAAAACTTATGTGAAGCAACTTATTTTATTGCCAAATACATGAGTTCAAATATTTACATCAAATGCAGATAATGTGTAATGATATTGAATTTTAAATTAAATAAATTCTATCCCAATTAGTATTTAACTTATTTAAATTTTATGACAAAGGAGTAGTAATGATTTAGTGAAAATTATACCGATTATTTATATCAAAGTCTAAAATTTGAATCTTATTTAAATTAAATATTAATTTTATTTTTTATATATAAAAAAATTACTGAATGTGCCCTTGCCTTTTGTAATAAAAACATTTTAATAATTATGAAAAAAAAAAAATCTGATGGGTCTTTTTGTGTAATTTTGTCTTCTACTATTTATTCGGCCGACTTCACAGAGAGAGCACGGAGGGAGAGAAATCGCGACTGTTCTTCACTTCTTTTCTCCTCTTCCCTGTCGCACTTTCCTCCTTCCATCGCCGTCAGTTCGTCCGCTGCTCTTCTCTCCGTCCACCTTCGTCGGCTACAATGGGGTTGGGTCGCTAGATTCTCTTCTCCTGTCATCGTTCTCTGTTCTGCATCAACGAGAGGTGAGTGGTCTTCAACTTCTCCTCTTGGTGTCACGTTTCTGTAGCTGGGAATGCTGGAGTTTTCGAATTTTCTTCCTCCTTTGCTGTCATATGCTTCTTTTCTGCATGCTATGAATCGACAGTAGTGCATGAGTAATGAGTTCCTCCTTCCTCTGTTTTGGACATCTTCGTTCTCTTACCCTTCTTTGTTGTTGCTGATTTATGTCTGAAGTTTTGAACTTCTCTTTGTTAATTTCGTGCATGGGTATTTTAATGGTTGAAAATGCTAAAAATGCCTCTTCAAGCTGAATATATGTGTGTGGGGGTGAGAACTAATTGTTAGAAAATTGATCCTTTCTCTCTATTTCTATGGGTCGTGCGAATGTGTGGATGGTAGAGGCCTAACAAAGATGGATTTAATCAAGTATTGGTGTTGTAGAATTGTTTGAGTGAAATTTGGGATGAAATTTGAAGTGGAGAGTCTAGTGTTAAAACTTAAAAATTTATGCATGTGAGGTGTTTGATAAAATACCCAATAAAAGAGTCTTGTTTGATTATACATTTTTAAAATTTCTATTAATTATGGTGATAAACATGATTGATTCTAATGTTAATTAGTTGAGCTTAACTTGAAGGTTGTAAAGGAATTTGATTATGAAAATATTCTTTAAAGATTATATGATTGTTGAGAAATTGTGGCTAAGATTATGGATTTTTCCTATCTACTGTGGGTAATGTGGAGTTGGGAGATGATTTTCTTCAAGTATTAAGCTGATTTATGATGAAGGAGAAGTTTGATTAATTTAAATGTTGATATTAGAATTTATGGAAAATGATTAAACTTGGATAAGAGAACCTAGATTTAGTAATTAAAGAGTTCATGCCAGCAAAATGTTCAATAATATGTTTGAAAGAAAGGGTTTGTTGAAGGATGAATGTGATGATTGTATTATTGATAATTAAATTATTATGGAAGTTGATTATTCTCCATAAAGGAAGTTGAAATTTGAGGCAGAGATGTTTGGGAAGAGTTTTTGGCTATTTCAGAGCTAATTTGCTATTCATATATATGTATGTTTTTGAAATGTTTATAAAATGTCGATGTACTGTTAGTGAAAAATGAAAGTTGAGGCTTATTGTGATATTTCTTTGGAATTTCAGAGTGAAGTCATCAATAATAAAGTTTATAAAAGAATATAACAATATTGTTATCTGGACAATAGGAACTTTAAAGCCAAGCATTACCACCAAAAGATTAACTTGGAAGCAAGTTATATGTGAAACCCTTCAAGTAAGTGAATAGCATCCTAATTAATTTATCAATAAAATTCTCTTTATAAAATATATTAATGCCATTTTACTTTCGTATCATTTTATTTTTAGTAAACCATATTTATTAAAGAACAATTCCTTTCTTGAACAGATTCTAATATGATGGATCAATTTGTTGTGTGAAATTATTTTATTTTGTGAAAATATATATAACTATGGCAAATGTATAATCAAGTTATAATATGTACATGTATTTTTCCTTATGAATTATATTTTTAAGATTGTTGAAGTTATCTTGAGTAACTTTCGAAATTTTAGTCAGCAAATAAATGCCAGAACGAATATTATTTATGAGATTTTATTTTGCAAATATTTAAATTGATACTTACAATAAATCATGCGAGTTTGGCATTGAAAGTAAAAATTTTATTTAAGTAATGATTGTTTTTCTCGTATGTTTGAAACATGATTTTAAGAGGACCATAAGCAGAACACTGTTGCTAACAGCAATTTCAGTAGCTCATAGTATGCTATCATTGATGACTAGCTAGTTTAATTTTCGTGGGTTTTGTTGTCACGTTTGATATTCATGAGTTTAACACTTGTGTTTGTTTTTATGGCTTCAAACCGTGTTTGGTTAGTATTACTCTTGTGAACTATATATCCGCGTTTGTTTCGTGGCTCTGGTTGTGTTTGGTTGCTTACTTTTATGGATTGTATATCCATGTTTGTTTTTATAACATAAGTCACATTTGCTTATTTATTTTCATGGATTGTATGTCCACGTTTGTTACTTGTTCTGTTAAGTTTTCAAAATTTTAAAATTTTACTTAACATTTGGTAATTAAAATTTCAATGCTTTCAATTAGTAAATTTATTACTTTGATTTACATGTGGATAATTTGTTTTTTCAAGCATGATAGAGTGAGGTAATTTTTAATTTACTTTCATTTTATGATTATGATTGAAATTTATAGATTTATTAAGTTTATTATAATGAATTATCATCTCTTCAGTTATCTCACTTAATTGTTTGAGTTTATTATTGTTACTCTTTTAAATTTTATTTTTGAGAATGTTATTCACTAAAAAATATTTTGTCTCAAATTCATTAACTAATATTGGATCTCTTGCCGATCATTGAGGGACTTTCAACTATACTGGGTGAATATTTATCTTTGGAAACGTTAAGTATAAGACCGACAAATAATAAATGTGAGAACAAACTCACGAAAGTCAAACTAACTAGTCATTGATCATGGTGCGTCAAGGCTAATGGAATTGTCGTTAGTATTAATGTTCTAATTAAAATCCTTTAAAAATACATTTCAAACATGTGAGAAGAATAGTCACCTTTAAAATACAATTTACATTCTCAATACCGAACTCACATGAATCATTTCAAACTTTAATCCAATACTTGTCGAAAATAAAATTTCATACATAATGTGTATTATAGCATTTATTAAATATTCAAAATTTTTTAAAGTAAACAAAAATAATACCATAAATCTTGAAAATATAATTCATGAATAAAAATACATGCATTACCACATCTTAGTTATCCTTTGCAACCATTTGTGTTTCTCATGATAAAATAATTTCATTGGCAACATACCCAACTTATCATAGTAATTAAAAATGATCTACATAAAAACAAATATTTCAATAAAAGATTATTATAAGTAAATTAATTGGGATGCCATTCACTTATGTGTCGGAGTTTCAAATTCTCAAAAATATTCTTCCTTCAATTTCTACCAAGATCCCCTTCTTCCATACATTCTATAAAGATATGAGTAAATAAAATTTAATAATTTTTCTCTAATTTATAAAGACTTTCTTCTACTCCTAATACAATTCCAATCATCCATTATTATTTAAAATTTTAAAACCAAAATTCATGCTTTAGAGTTAATTCAAGCATTATCCTTCATATCACTAACCTTCATATAGTTTTAGTTATACCACTCTATTTACTTGAGGCAAAATTTTCTTAGACTTTGCACCAATTACTTTAGGTGCATTAATTCTAACCATTCAATTAAAATATTTAACAATTTACCATTAACCATATAAATTCTAAGAACTAATGAAATTTTAAAATACTCAAATCAAGTTCCATTTCTTCGTACAAGCATTACAAGCATTACAAGCATTTCAACAAACATCTCATAGGCACAAATATTTAAGTTGTATATTTAAATTATTCTCTTTCAATTTCACCTTAATAAATTCTTACCGTCAATCAATCCAAACAAAATCTCCAAGATTATGACCCATATGTATATCATTATCAAGCTTTATTTCTAGCTCAAATTTGAATCTTCTTCCTACAATAGCACGGCAGCAGTAGAACCAAAAGAGAATTTGCAATTTCAACAGCATCATTTTAGCCACTCGCATGCACAGATTATACAAAGAGAAGAAGAAGAGATCTCAGCTTATAACCTTAAATGTCCCACACACACGAACAGAGAAAAGAGAAACTCACACACCAACAAGAACCTATAGTGACGCACGGACGAACGAAGGAGCAAGACTGTAATTTCCGATCACCCAAGCCTCTGGCGACAGCAATAGAAGAGTAGGAGCTCAACACGTCATAGTAGATACAAGCTGGAGTAGGGGAGAGCAAAGGGATCTTGCAGACGCACAGCAGTGACAAGTGAATTCTAGCACCTGTCAATGGCGGATGAATGAAGCAGTGATGCTCACTCATGCCAGCGACGACGATGGTTGAAACGGAAGAGGAGACGGCAAAGGTACAGAGGAGGAAGAAGAAATGAAATATCAGAGAACCCTTCTCTCGATGTGTCTGGAAAACTCGAAGAGACCTTATTTAGATTCAAACTCGGACCAAATGAGAGGATTATTTGTACAGTTTCCACTGCACTAACATTCCTTCTTTTCATAATTATCCCAAAATTAATATAACTACAATTAAAAACAATAATATATATTTAATTTTTACTTAAAATTCCTGAGTTATTACAGTTTTTTTTTTCATTTTTCATTTCTGAGACTTATTCTGACAAACTATTCTATACAATTATTTTAAGAACTAAAAACAGGAAACAGAATCAAACAAATCTTAGATAACTTGTTTTAACTATATGAGGCTCTTCTGTAAGGAACCTTTAGACACCAGATCTTCCGAAGATAGATTGATCTGTGCCATTTGAATCCCTTCCATGTCAAATAATGGTGACAACTTGCTTTTTGTTGGAGATCTTAATCCTCCTGAACCATATAAACCATCCAGTAAGGTTTGCTTTTAGGTCCTGACAATTTAATTTCGAGCTCCCCTTGTGTTATCAAGCATGCTTTGCTTGAATCCTTCAAGTTTATCTTACTGCCATCATCATTCACATAGGCTCTACGCCTCTACCTCTTACCATGATTTTTTATTTTTAATTACAAAAGGCAAGCAAAGGCTTGGAAAGGAAAACTAAAAGATTACGAACAGTTGTAGAAGCCCATTAAGCAGGACAGTGTCATCCGCGAAAAGCATCTGTTGGTGCTGAGCTTGAGGATCCGAGCCAGCTGTGCACTCCTTGCAAGATAATCAGCAGGACTAATGATCTCCCTGTAAGTATGATGAAAAGCTCTCTAGTGTGTTCCAAGAGATCCCTTAACTGATGACCCGTTCCTCCATCTCTCAACAGCATGTTGATAGCATCCAGTGAGTCTGAGTTAAGTTGGATCTTTTGAAAACCAAGAGATTTACATACTTCCATACCAGTCTCATGATGTGTTTGGATTACCTCTCAACTGAGGTTGGGGTGGTCCAAACCTCAGTTAGAGAGTAAAATCCCATTATCTAGATTAAAACCTTGTTTAGGAAAGAAAAAAAGGTAAACAAACGTTGAAGCCTAGAAGAGCATTTTTGTTGAAGTTTGGAGACAGAGTGCCCATTTGGTTTCACAACTTTTTACATTGAGTATGTGCTTTTCATCTTTTTGAAAGTGAGATGTTTGAAAATTATTTGTTATTCAGATTGACTTTTGAAAAAAGTACATTCAAATGAGGTTGAAAGTAGATCTAGCCAACCTATAAATATGGAGCTTTTGGAATTGAAAGTTGGATATTATATATTTATATGACCAAGTTGCCCTTGTTTTCCTACGTCTTTCTTCTCTCTTTTTATGATCTCTATTATTTGTTGCTTCTACACATATTGTATCATACCTGACATTGAAATAGTATTCAAAGGTGAGTTCAAGTTTTTGACCAATAGCGATGGATGCTTTTGAATGAAAAAAAGAATAGGGATGGCTGGTAGGAAAAAAATTAAGAAAATTAAAATGCAAGTGAATTCTGTACATTTTTTTGAAAAAAAATATAAATTTGATTATACATTATAAATTGAACAATTAATCTTATTAATTTTTAATATTATTGTATATTAAACTATTTATATGTATTTTAAATATTTTTAATATATTATATTTGCATAATAAAAATTACAAATCATATAAATCAATGTCTTTTTTTATCATTATATATTCAAAAGCACTACATTTTAAAAGCATAAATTATCACTAATTCAAATAATTTTTAATTTATGAAACTGACTTTTAAAATAATATATTTAAATATAAATTTTATTATAACAATTAATTTTTATTAAATTAATTTTTATTAAATAAATATTTGATAAACTGACTTTTGTTCAACGGAACCAAACACACTAGGAGCTTTTCTTTCAACCTGCGTCGTGCAGCGATGATAGCTGAAAGGAGCTGCATATGTCAGATTCTTCTCACTCTTCCATTACTCCACCTCCTAATCTCGCTGCTTGTTTCTTTGCTTGTATATTTTAAATGGTATTTTTTTAGTAGAAAAATGGTATATTTTTTATATAATGTGTCTTGTATAGTGGATAGATATAATTGTAATTTATTTGACCAAAAAAATAGATATAATTGTAATTTAACATTATGATTTTTAAAGTGAATCTATTTTAATATGCAAAATCTGTGTTTAATAGTTAGTTATTAGTGCTGATTAGATCCCAAAAATACCCCACCTATGAAATTTTTTATATTCTATTTTTTTAAAATGTAATGTGAATTTTAATTTTGGCCCCCCACTTTCATGAATTTTTTTTCATTTTGACCCCTGTGTGTCATGTTCTGGACCTGTCACTGGACAGAGCCATCAACGTCTACGTGGACAAATTCAGACAGCTGAGGAGACCATACTAATTTAGGTTCGGTCAGAGTGGAAAACTTTATTTCTCAGTTTCCCATTAACTATGTCTTCCATCAAGTGAGCCAAGCATAAATGGTAGACTTCACTAATTAGGGGAGGAGAGTCTCTCCACCTTTTTTCCTTCATTTGCTCAATTATCATCATTCAAATTATTTTATCAAATATTCTTTTAAATGATAAAGCAGTACCGAAAAGTCAAACCCAGGCCAGGGCCATTGCTTCGTTTTATGATTCCTAGGATTGTGATGAGAGTTCCATTCGAGCCATACCTAGAGATTACCACAAAAGAAACTATGGTGCATATTGGGATTAATAAAATTAAGCCAAATGTTCTTGCCTCTGTCACAGTCACGGACTAAGTGTGAAATATCATTCTCACAATTACAGTCAAAGGGACATAACCTATTTTCAGTAAAACCTCTCTTGGCTATGAGAGAATTTGAGGCAGCCTCTCGTGAGAAACTAGCCACAGGAAAAGTTTGACATATTCAGGAATAGGCCAATGCTAGAAATTGGACCATTGGATTCCAATCTCCCCCATACATGTAAGGGTCCAGGATTATAGAAATGATTGATTTTAAGATAACAGGACTTCTAGGTCTGATCTCATATGCAGATCTTACCATGGATATTGTGAAAATACAGGATGAAATTTTACCATCCCTATCAGACTTAAAAATAAATATCCAATTAGTCATTATTATGCAATTTTTTCTTCTACTGTCCTCATCAATTCTAGCATTTCTCCCCACACATCCAACCATACATGTAAAATCTTTTTATTAATTAACTCTCATGGATAGAAACAGGGCCAAGAATTTGCCAATTGCAAATAGAATGTTTCTTATATGCTCTTCTCATCTTTACTTTTTCTTTTTGGACTCTTGCCTCCTTGTTATATAGGTTTTTTAGCTTAATCAAGAGAATTCAACTAAGAATAAAAATTGTATAATAAGCCCAAGAAAAAAATTGTATAACAAGCCCATAAAAAAAAAACCTAGGTGAACTCAATTTTGACTGTGCATCTTTTTTTTAACCAGTGTTAATTGTGCATCCCAGTTTCATGAACGGAATATGTTGTCTTATCTACATAATTGTTTATATGCCTTCTTTTCTTTTTATAATCTCAAATTCCATTCAAAGTAATAAATTTCATTTTATCTTTTGTCAACATCTAATAACTATTGTCTCTCCATATGATTTGAACTCTTTTAAACTACCCTACACTAAATATATTTAACTTTTATAAATTGCACTTGTTTAAACATGGAAGTTAGCTGCAAAATTAAGTTGTCCTCTCAAGTCAACATTAGAATAACTTACAATGTTCTTTGCTGTGTTATCTGACATGGACGATGGTTTTTTTCTTTTGCATTATTTGAAAATTTTTATTACAATCGCATTTATGATCATGTCAAGGCCGTGTCAATTTTATATATTTTGTGTTTGGCAAGCGTTTGCTCTTTTGTTTGTTGAGCGTTTTCGAACCACCATAAGAGTAAATTTAATTTCAATATGTACTAGGAGAAACTTGAAATTTTAGAAAATTTCAAATTATTCAAGCATGTTACTAATAGTATCTGCTGCTAGCTTGGAAACGCACCCAAATAAGTGTCAAACTTTTCCAAATAAGTTTCAACTTTCTTTGTGTTTAAGTTCAATTGTTTTTTCTTTTTTCTTTTTTATATAAAATTTTCTCTTTTAGTAAATATATTGAAAATTAAATGTTTTACTGTAGCAAAAGGTCTACATCCCTCATAGGGGGGAAGGATAAGGAAGCACAAGAGCTTTTGGTTTATCAACCTGCAACACTAAAGACAGAGCTTTGTGTTCACTGGAATGCCATAGGGAAATATCCCTATGGGAACAAGTGTCTCTCCTCTCATGGCAATAAAGAACTCCATTTTGTTATGCATAGTGCATAATATAAGACTAGATGGAACCTATGAAGTATCGATACTTCAAATTACTTGATGTTCTGTGTCAATATCATATGCGATACCAATACACGCCAATACTTCTTTGATTAATATATCTAAAGTTTCAAAATGTTATGTTTTAATTAAAAAATATTTTAAATTTTTAATATGTATCCGATACTTGTAATTTTTGATACTTTTAATTTTTTAATTGTGGCTTTAGAAAGTATTCTCAATGAATCTCAAAGAAGTTGTGACTTCATCAAATCATAAATACCACTACCAAGAAGCCTATTTTAACCCAAAATGGATAAAAACAAAGTCATTATGACTTGATTGCCACAAGACATTTATCGTTGTGGTAAATTTCCTGATACCAATTGATTGTTGGATTTATGCAGTTTGCAAACTAGGTACTATTTAGCGAGTTCTACAAAAACCATCAAGATGCTCTATTAACACAGATTTTCAAGTTAGTGATTTGTTGTGGAATAAGAATGGGCATGAATTGTTGAGTTGTAGTGAATTTTGTTTTTTCCTTCCACTTATAAAAAGTAATATTTTTTGTTTTGCTAGTTTGTCACTAATCGTTCCTGCAAGTGTATGCGATCACAGTAATAAATTATCTAAAATATTTCAAGTGTTAAACCCACATGAAAGTTGTGATTTTACTAATTTCAATAATTAATAGTTTAAGAAAAATAGATAAAATGGATAATTTGATGAAAATATAAATAATAAAAATACATCTAGAAAATAATGACGATGAAAACACAATTAGTTGAAGCATTGAGATTTAAGATTCACTCTATAAGTTACAAG